AACGAAATGGAAAGCAGGCAGTTACAGTAGATTAGGAGTGGTGAGGACTTTGGTACGTTGAAAATTTTGCTAACCCTTGGCGAAATATAAGACCTCATCAGAGAAGAACGTATAAGCGGAACAAAATGGAAATAAGAGAGATTTCGTTCGGCCCTCAAATGGTCGAGAACAGGCTATCATCGATGACTCTTATTTGGTTTGTGGTGATATTTGCGAAAATCACAGTCGTCCGATCCCGTCAAGTGGGGTTTTCAGAAGCTGAAACAGCACTGGCACTCAAACTGATGTATTCAGTCATGAACTGAATACATGCTTCGCTTCGTGAGGCAAGCAGTGACCATAACAACCGCATTTTGGCATCGAGTCTACAGTGCGCCCTTATCATGCTGGAGAACGTTTTCTCTTAGATTGAATGACGTGTAACTCCTTGCTCCATCCCGCCACACACACAAAAACAAACAAACACAAACACCGGCGTCAAAAAAACCCCACATATGGAGGCTGTTCTCACGTGAGGCCAATGTGACAGCTGCATGCAAATTCGAGAACCTTCTGGAATATCTAAGTCCAAATCTGGATTTGTTTCATGTTCATAGTTTAGAGGGATTGCGAAACATCACTGTTGCACATAGGCGACAACCGACACAGATTGCGTGGGCTACAACATACACATGTTGACAGTGCCTGAAACAACATGTGTATGACTGTTTTGTGTCTATCTGATGAAGCAGAAAAAAATAAAGATGATTCTTGCTGAAAGGTTAAAACCGACTAGGATCAGAGACTCATAAAAGTAATCTACGAATGTGACATTATTAAGCTTTTGATAGATGAGTGATTCAAATTAAAATAAACATATGCAAAAGATCAAGGGAAAAGCCAAACTAATAAGTTAGATGAATGGAACAATCTGAAATTTTCATTAGCAAAATCAATGCATGATCAGTACGTTTACTAAACAATCACGGCCGGTATATAAGTTATAAAATCAACAGAAAGATCAACCCCCCTACCCCTGGCGGCATCCAAAAAGCGATGAATTAGAGGAATAAACACTATTCCAGTATTTGAACGGTGACAAATATCAATTTCAAGTAAATTAAAGAAAATTAATCTTCATGCACCGAACAAGGGAAGAGTTTTAACACGTTCCACGAATTACAGTGGAGCAAACTTACCTGTACATGAACAGAAAGAAAAGTGAAAAAAGCAGCTCGCTGCAACAAAAAACAAAACACTAACGGGATATGCGATTTTTCAAGACGGTCATCATAGTCCGCCGATTTACCAAGATATAGACGAGATAAGGGATGATGTTTTTTCGGTATATGGTGATGCATGTGCAAGGTGTATCCCCAATTCGGAACGAGATCAAGAACGAGACATTTCTCTCAAGATGACCGTGCAGACAGTGTTTTCCGTTAGGTAATTTATTGCTGGTGAATCGCTGACATGTATCAAATTGCTTACAGTCAACGAAAGCAATTAGATCAGGTTTGGGAATAAAATTGGAGTAGGAAAAACGTTTGATGCTTCCGGAAAACAGGATAAATTACTTTAAACCGGGAAAAAAATACTGGGGAACAGTGTGGACGAATGCTGGCTGTTACATAAGATATATTTCGGGTAACGATACACTTTTGAGCCACAAGGCACAAGAGGACAATCTACAATCCCCAGTTTTATTGATTTGAGCTGACTGTCCTTCGGACTTCATCTTCATCGATTCATCCATACACTCACTGAATACGACACCTGAAAAAACATGATTTGGCAATTTGGTTCAGCCATGGTATAAGCTGGTTGGCACAGTGGTTACGCACATGCCTTCTATGCGATGGGTCCGGAATTCAAATACCGGACGGGACGGTGGACATGCACTACTGATGAGCTCTATTAAGAGCAAAACTCGAGTCCATTGAACGGAACACGGAATCTGTCAAGGTGAAACGAGCGGAATATGCCGATTGGTTACACAGATCGGTCAACGCAACCCTGAGACTGTATATTGACGAGACTAATTACAACATATGGTCCAGTCGCAGTTATGGACGATTCAAAGTGAGTTGTAAAGCCATTAGAAGCCTCCCGTCCAGCAAAGGACCCAACTTGAACATAATAGCATGTTCATCTGTCGCTGGTATCGTTAAATATGAATGTCATCCAAAGATCAGTTGGCATGTTTTCAATGGGTTCCTATCAAGCTGCTTTACACTAATCACTACTGAGCAACCGGGTGTGCCAGAAGTTGTTATCTTTGACAATGCGCCCG